GTTCTGTTAGTTTTAATGAATTGTTGGATTTTTCATTCTTTGGTAAACTTTTCAAGACCTATACCAACTAGTGCTGTTTGGTGTTTATTATTTTGCTTCTTTTCTAATTCCAAGTCAATGGGAGAAACTGTGTGACTTTCCTTGGTAAACTGATTCTTAGTGTCTTATTCCTTTATGTTCATAAGATGCACAGAAATGCCCTTAGTGGATATCTACCTGCTGCAGTGGTTGGTAAGAATGTTATTTTAAAGTTTGAGTTTCCAGGATAAACTTTTTAAGTTTATTTTTTATTGTTGACATTATTAAAGATGCCCCCTATTTTCCCCCCACTTTCCCCCTCCACCCAGTTCCCACCCCACCCCAGGCCTTTGCCATTCTATTGTCTGTGTCCATGGGCTTATGCATATATGTATATAAGTTCTTTGGTTAATCTCTTCCCATCCCCCACAACTCTCTCCCCTGTGAGATCTGTCAGTCTGTTCCATCCATCCTTGCCTCTAGATCTATTTCGTTCATCACTTTATTTTGTTTATTAGATTCCACATATAAGTGAGATCATGTGATATTTGTCTTTCTCTGACTGGCTTATTTCACTCAGCATAATGGTCTCCAGGTCATCCATGCTGCAGAAAAGGGTAAGAGATCCTTCTTTTATACAGCCACATAGTATTCCATTGTGTAAATGTACCACAGATTTTTTATCCACTCATCTACTGATGGGCATTTATCTGTTTCCAGATCTTAGCTATTATAAATAATGCTGCTATGAACATAGGGGTTCACATTTTCTTTCTGATTGGTGTTTCAGGATTCTTAGGATATATTTCCAGAAGTGGGATCACTGAGTCAAGCTTCAGTGCCATTTTTAATTTTTTGAGGAGACTCCATACTGTTTTCCACAGTGTCTGCAGCCGTCTGCATTCCCACCAGCAGTGTACTAGGGTTCCCTTTTCTCCACAAACTCACTAGCACTTGCCTTTTGTTGATTTATTAATGGTAGACATTCTGACAGGTGTGAGGTGATACCTCATTGTACTTTTAATTTGCATTGCTGTGATGATTGGCATAGGGAAATTTCTGGGATCTCTGTTCTGTTCCATTGATCTGTATGGCTGTTCTTGTGCCAGTACCAGACTCTTGATTATAATGACTTTGTAGTACAGTTTTATATCCAGTATCATGATCCCTCCAACTTTCTCTAGATTGCTATAGCTATTCAGGGTCTTTTTTTGGTTCCATATACAATTTTGAAATATTTGCTTTAGATCTGTGAAATATACTGATAATATTTTAATAGCAATTGCATTGAATCTATAGATTGCTTTGGGTATTATGAACATTTTAATGATGTTGATTCTTCCACTCTATGAACATGGTATATGATTCTACTTGTTTTTATCTTCCTCCATTTTCTTTTTTCAATGTCATATAGTTTTCTGAGTACAGGTCTTTTACCTCCTTGGTTAAGTTTATTTTTAGGTATCTTATTCTTTTGTTGTTTTTGAAATAGTAAATTGGATTTTTTTTTTAGTTTCGCTTTCTGAAAGTTCATTATTAGTGTATAACAATGCCATTGATTTCTGTATATTAATTTTGTATCCTGCTACTTTGCCAAATTCATTTATTAAATCTAGTAGTTTTTTTGTGGAGTCTTTAGGGTTTCCTATGTACAATATCATGTCATCTGTGAATAATGAGTTTTATTTCCTCCTTACTAATTTGGATGCCTCTTATTTTTTCTTCTTGTCTTGTCGCTGTGGCTAGAATTTCTAGTACAACATTGAATAAGAGTGGTGAAAGCGTATATCCCTGTCTTGATCCTGTTCTTAAGACAAATGCTTTTAGTTTTTACTCATTTAGTATATTGTTGACTGTAGGTTTGTCATATATGACCTTTATTGTGTTGAGGTATGATTCTCTTATTCCCACTTTGCTGAGGGTTTTTGTAAAAAATGGGTGCTGGAGCCCAGTCGATGTGGCTCAGTATTTGAGGGTCGACCCATAAACTAGGAGGTCATGGTTCAATTCCTGGTTAAGACACATGCCTGGGTTGTGGGCTCGGAGCCCAGTAGGGGGTGTGTAGGAGGCAGCTGATCAATGATTCTCTTATCATTGATGTTTCTATCTCTCTCTCTCCCTCTACCTTCCTTTCTCTGAAATCAATAAAAAATATATTTTAAAAATGGGTGCTGAATTTTGTCAAATGCTTTTTCTGCATCTATTGATATGATCATGTGATTTTTATTCTTCATTTTATATGGTGTATCACATTTATTGATTTGAAATTACTGTACCAGTCTTGCATCCCTGGAATAAATCCCACTTGGTCATGGTGTATGATCTTTTTCATGTATTGCTGGATCATATTTGATAGTATTTTGCTGGGAGTTTATTATTATTATTATTATTGCTATAATTTCATTAGTTGTAATCAGCCTTTTCAGATTTTCTGGTTCTTCCTGATTCAGTTTTGGAAGAGTTTCCAGGTATGTGTCTATTTCACCCAGGTTGTCCATTTTGTTTGCATAATTTTTCATACCATTTTCTTACAATCTTTTGTATTTCTGTGGTGTCAGTTGTTACTTTGCCTCTTTCATTTCTGACTTTATATATTTGGGTCCTCTCTCTTTGCTTCTTCATCAGTCTGGCTAAAAGTTCATCAATCTTGCTTATCTTTTAAAAGAACAAGCTCTTGGTTTCATTGATCTTTTGTATTGTCTTTTTAGTTTCTGTCATTTATTTCTACTCTGATCTTTATTATTTCCTTCCTTCTAGTTTAGTCTTTGCTTGTTGTTCTCTTTCAAATTCTTTTAGTAGTAGGGTTAGATCCTTTATTTCAGCTTTTTCTTGTGTCTTGAGGTAGGCCTGTAATGCTATGAACTTCCTTTTCAGGACTGCTTTTGTTGTAACCCATAGATTTGTGGTTGTTGTGTGTTCATTTTTGTTTGTTCCCAGGTAGTTTTTTATTTCTTCCTTGATCTCATTGGTAACTCAATTTAAATCCATTGTTTAATAACATGCTATTTACCTTTCATGTGTTTGAATGTTTTTGAGTTTTTTTGTTGTAGTTGATTTCTAGTTTCATGCCGCTGTGATCCGGGAAGATGCTTGATATGATTTCAATCTTTTTGAACTTGCAAAGACTTATTTTGTATCCTAACATGTGGTCTATCTTTCAGAATGTCCCATGTGCACTTGAGAAGAATATATATTCTCTAGCTTTGGAATGAAATGTTCTGTAAATATCAATTAAATCCATCTGCTTTATTGTGTAATTTAAGGTTCAAGGTGAATGTGAATTTTCAAACAAGAGGAAGTATATTGAGACCTTACTGTTTGCAAGGAAGAGACCCACCCCTGCACTCTTAAATAATAAGGCTTATTCATAAAGCAAAAACAGTGTCTCAGAAGCTTGTAATTATGCCCAGTAATTCTGTTGCCCTTTTTCTTTGCTCCTTTCTCCAGTCTCTAGGCAATGACTCTGATTGGGTCAGTGACTTGGTTACTAATGACTATGGAGCATTCCTTGCTGGAATGAAATCAATATTGAGTCCTATTAGTTTTAGCCAAAATAAGACAGTTGTTTTGGATCAATACATATGACTTGTAAACTACAGCTGGGAGAACTTTCTAAAGCTTCTTTGGAAGCAAAGCCAGCCTTTGGGAAGGTGCAAGTACTTGAGCTTCTTGAACCTGACCAGTAAGGGAATAAAAGATATTTCTGTCTATAAATATGATGGGGAAGAACTAAATTACAGATAAGCTCAAATTGAATTAGTTTGCAAATGAAGGAGAGATAATTGCTCTGCCCTTAAGAAAAGACCTGCAATACTGTTGGGTGGCTTTAAGGCAAATCAGTTAACACTATCTACTTTAGTTTGCTTATCTTAAAGTAAATATGATATAAAGTTTTCCTTGCTCAATAATTGTACACATCAGGGATAATGTATGTTAAATGACCATCAATGTGACCCTGGCCAGTGTGGCTTAATTGGTTGAGCATGGTCCCATGATCAAAGAGGTCAAATATTCCATTCCTGGTCAGAGTACATGCTCAGATTGAGGACTCAATCCACAATAGGGAGCTGCAGGAAGCACCCAATTAATCTCTCTCTCTCTCTCTCTCTCTCCCTCTCCCTCTCCCTCTCCCTTTCTCTCTCTCTAAAATCAATAGAAACCTTTAAAAAAAATGGCCAACCCTGTGTAGAGACAGCAGGTAAAGTAACTGTTGTGATTATTACTATTACTCTTGTCTGCTCAGACAATAGGAAGGGAACTTTACAATGAATATGCAAGAATCTATAAATTCTTCCTCACCGTACAATGGTTAAGATCATGGGTTATGTGGGATTAAGACTACTTCCTAGCTATGAGATTTTAGACAAGTTATTTAATCTAATGTGACTCAATTATCTCTACTGTAAAAATGGGATAAGATTACTTTCTATCACAAAGAGCTCTTATGGGGATTAAATGAAATAAACTAAGTCCTGCTTAGAACAATGCCTGGCATACAGTAAACACTTAGTACATGTTCTCTGTTAAGCTATCAATCTTTATTTCATGATTCCTGAAACTGAGGCTCATGATTTGCCATGTTAGTAGGTGGTGTAGGGGGTGCTGAAAGACCTTCTTTCCCTTCTTTTCTCCCTTTTTTTCTTTCCTCCCTTTCTTCTTCATATATCTATTTATTGGATTGGATTGAGATACAGTAATTCCTGCCTAGTTGATTGGGATTTAGGACATCTGATTTCATTTTCTTTTACCTACAGCCCCTGCTTTGGCCAGGGCACCAATAAGTACTCACATATCTTGCTTCCACTGTAATAAAATCATATTATACTTTTGTCTTTTGCCACTAGCCTACAACTATTAGCTGTCATGTTCAATATCCCAAGTTTCTTCTTTGAATCTTCATACTTGAGAAATCAATAAGATCAAGGAAATAAGAACCAGTGTTTACATAAGTGTTTATTGGACTTTTCTTTATCATCTTTCAGGTCTTGTAGAAATTTGCCTGATGCACCCCCTCGATGTGGTGAAAACCAGGTAAGGTTCTGCATGAACAAGTTTTATTGACTTTGGCTGATATCCAAATTAAGGTCTGTCAGAACACTAAATGCTCGAACTTGTCCCAGGCCGGTAGCTTCTCCCAATAATGGCATTTGTATTTACTTCTCAAAGAAAATACTATTTGACAGATAAAATGTGAACAGTGAAAAGCATTTCTGGATTGAGGTCATCTGAAGGTATATAATATTTTACTGCCTTCACATGACAACCATAAGGTATGATTTGTGGCTAAACTGGTTGAGGTAAATATATCAAAATGATGTAAAAACTAAACTTTAATGAATTATTATAGCAGACTTTCATTTGGCATTGTATATAACAGATTACTATTTAATAGTCAGAATTTTGGTGTGAGATTCCAAAATTTCAACCAAACTTCTTAAATAGTACTTAAAGAATTTATTCCTATAACTGTTTGCCAATGCAAAGTGCCATGTTTCCAGGAAAATGCATTTGCTTTTAAAATTATCCTATCTAATAAAAGAGTAATATGCAAATTAACCATCACTCCCTCATTCCATCAGTCCATCACAAAGATGGCGGCGGCCATGAGCTGGAGTGAGCAGAAGGCTTAGGTTGCCCCTGGCGATGGAGGAAGCCAAGCTTCCCGCCTGCCCTGGCTGGCCCTGAACTCCACTTAAGGCTACAAAGTTTCAATTATAGAAGTTAAATAAATCCCAGATACCTGCTTCCAGCCTGCGGGTGTGGCCAGCCTGAAAACTGCCATCAGCCCCTCACCCAGGCTGGCCAGGCACCCCAGTGGGGATCCCCACCCTGATCCAGGACACCCTTCAGGGCAAACCAGCAGGCCTCCATCCATGTACCAGGCCTCTATCCTATATAATAAAAGGGTAATATGCAAACTGACCCTAACAACAAAACGACTGGGAATGACTGGTCACTATGACACACACTGACCACCAGGGGGCAGATGCTCAATGCAGGAGATGCCCCTTGGTGGTCAGTGTGCTCCCACAGGGGGAGCTCTGCTCAGCCACAAGCCAGGCTGACGGCTGCCAGCACAGCGGTGGTGGCAGGAGCCTCTCCCCCTTCCTCAGCAGCACTAAGGATGTCCGACTGCAGCTTAGGCCTGCTCCCTTCTGGCAAATGGACATCCCCTGAGAGCTCCTGGGCTGCCAGAGGGATATCTGACTGCCAGCTTAGGCCCGATCCCCCAGGGAACGGGCCTAAGCCAGCAGGTGGACATCCCATGAGCGGTCCCAGACTGTGAGAGGGCACAAGCTGGGCTGAGGAACCCCCCCCCCCCCGAGTGCACAAAATTTTGTGCATTGGGCCTCTAGTATACAAATAAGGGCAGTATATTAAATCTATTTACCAAGAGGAAAAAATCTTATGGGTTTTAATATGATTGAGAGCATTTTAAAACGTTAAACCTGTGCCTGAATTATTGAACTCTCTCTCTCTCTCTCTCTCTCTCTCTCTCTCTCTCTCTCTCTTTAATTAGAAGCTCTTAGAATGTATTGAAAGTTTTCATTTATTTGTATTGTTTAAAACCAAGAACACGCCCTAGCCAGCTTGGCTCAGTGGATAGAGTGTTGACCTGTGGACTGAAGGATTGTGGGCTTAATTCTGGTCAAGAACATATGCCTGGATTGTGGGCTCGATCCCCAGTAGGGGGTGTGCAGGAGGCAGCTGATCAATTATTCTTTCTCATTAGATGTTTCTATCGCTCTCTCCCTCTCCCTTCCTCTCTGAAATCAATAAAAATATATTAAAAAACAAAACAAAACAAAAACCAAGAACACTAATACCTAGGTTGCAACTTAATAGTGAATAGGGACATGCAACAGTGGAGGTCAAACAAACCCTATTGCCACAATTAGGAAATACAGTAGTCTCCTTTATCTATGGTTTCTCTTTATGTCTTTCTGAGTAACATGATAAAATCTCACATCATCCTACTCCATCCTGCTCAGGACATGAGTCATCCCTTTATCCAAAGTATCCACACTGTATGTGTAGTATAATAAGGTATTTTGAGAGAGAGAGAGAAACCATATTCATATAACTTTTATTACAGAATACTGTTGTAATTGTTCTATTTCATTATTAATTATTGTAATCAATCTCTTACTATGTCTGATTTGTAAGTTGAACTTTGTCATATGTATGTATAGGTATAACCACAGCACCTGTAAGATTTGGTACTATTCATGGTTTCATGCATCCACTGAGGGTCTTGGAACATATCCCCCACAGCTAAGGGGGGATTACTGTACTAGCTGATTCAGGCTGGTCATTGAGTGGACATGTTGCTTAATTTATCCAAAGAGGCTGAAGAATCTTAGACTGGTTGCTGAAAGCAAGGAAAGGTGACTATGTCCTGCATATCATATTACATTTCTAATAGAGGTAGAGAAGATGAGAAATTGGCCTCTGCCATAGCTCGGGCTCTATAACAAAATAGCACAGACTGGTGGCTTAAGCAACAGGCATTTATTTCTCAAAGTTCTCGAGGCTTGGAAATCCAAGATCAAGGTGCCAGTCAATTTGGTTCTTGGTGTGGGCCCTCCTCCTGACTTATAGACAGTCACCTTCTTTCCCTATCCTCTCATGGCAGAGAGAGGGACTCGGATGTCTCTTCTTTTTCTTATAGGGGCACTAATCCCATCATGGGGTGCCCCCCATGTCCTCATCTAAACCTAATTACTTCCCTAGTCTCATCTTCAACTACCATCACATTTGGGGGTTAGGGCTTCAAAATATGAATTTGGGGATTTGTAAATATTCAGTCCATAACAGCCTCAGGTCAGCAAACCCAAACAGAGAGAACAAGACCACAAATTATATTCAACTATGTGTGTACTTCCTGGACTGTCTTTTTTAAAATATAAATAAATTATATTTTATTATTTATTTTATTTTACTTTTTAATAGATCTTTATTGTTAAAGTATTATATATGTCCCTTCCCCCCATTGCCTTCTCCATACCCCTTCCCACATGACCACACCACCCTACAATGAGGAAGAAAAATTCACTGCCATGTCTTTCTTAGACTTCATGTTATCTTCTTTGAAAAGCCAGAATATTTTTGCTCTTCTTGCTGAGGAATAAAACTGGTTTTTTTTTCACTTAAGGGAAACAGCCTAAATTTTTGAATTGTTCAAATGAGCATGAAGGAGAAACAAGAATGATTTGAACAAGATATCATATTGAAACTATGATTATTCAGTCACTCAATCCTTCACTCATCCATTTAGCAACATGTATTGAGTATCTGGTATTATTTGGGTTCCAGGCTAGCTTTGCCCTCCAAGAGCTTACAGTCTGATGTGCTAATAAGAATCTCATCACAATGAATTTCAAAAACTATAATACAGTGACCCTTGAACAAAGTAGGTGCTGACCTCCTGCACAGTCAAAAATTTGCATATAACTACTATATAATTTCTTTATACTGGAGTTGAATAGAATACTACTTAAAATGGATGTGCCAAGTTACTGGGGCTTTATATCTCCTTTGTTATGTAGATATTTTCATTAAAATTGCATTGATTTATTGGAATTAGTCACATGCCCTTGCCTAGCTTCCGGGGGAGGGAAAATAAAATCCTCCCAGGTGCACTAAAAGAGAAGGGAACTGGATACTGGATGGTATTTGACCTGCATAATAATAAAAAGTATATTGAGTCAAAACCCACAATTATAGAGTAAACTGAAAGCCCAAAATATATGCAACTGATTTTGCAATAGAAATAGAATACGCAACAGTGGTAGCATTTATCACTGAGCACTAACACACAGGTTTTAAGGAGTAGACAGAACAGAGTAAATAATGCTAAAATATTTTCAATATTTCATATATAAATAACATAAACTGTAAACTACAAGGGATAATATCTGAAACCGTGTAGCATTAGTTATTTGAGCAGGTCACTTTCCTAAATGACATCCAAGAGCACTGGGTTCCAAATTATTTCAGGGATTGTCCAAGTGGGGCATAGTATACATCAGACCAAACCTCACTTGCTTTATAGATTTTTTATGAGCTGCTTTGCCTCTTCTTAGATAACTTTACTTGAAGGGTGGTGTACTTAATCAATGTAAGTATAGAAATGTCTCATTTCCCACAATATCTCAAAATAAATGTGTTCACTTCTTCAAGTCTAGTCTCTTCTTTTGGCAAAATAAATGTGTTTACTTTTTCAAGTCTAGTCTTTTCTTTTGAGATCCGATTTGTGCCTAACCCTTTTATTTGCTGAGTGAAAGATAACAGATTCTAAAAATGTATTTTCAAATTCTTTCTTCACAGAGCTTTTTTCCATTATTTTTTTCACTTTGTAAATGATCAGTTCTGTTAACCCAGGCTGGAAGAATAAAGGGAAGTGGTGGTGTAACCAGAGGCTGGTAGAAGCTATAACCATAGAAAATCTGGTCTAGTCGTAGCTGGAGGCTCAGAGGAGCACCAGCCACTGCCTAAAATTCACTGCCTGGGGCAGACAAGGAGTGTGAGAAATACTCTAGTCTCTCCTTTTCCACACTCTGCAACCTCCCATCAGTGCTCCTGTATCTGAGCTCATGGAAGCCTGGGAAACCAGCCTTACAGAGGGCAGTCCCTCTGCATAACAGAGCAGAGCAAAACAAAACAAGGGAAGAGTGAGAAATGGGCCTGAAGACAAACAGAACCAGGACTGACATACTATCATTTTATTTTATTTTTAAATCTTATTAACATATTTCATTTAACTCAATATATTTAAATACTTTCACTGAGTAGTAAATATAAAAAGATCATTAGTGAGGTATTAGAAACAATGCTGCCATCTGCCGTGCCCTACAATACAATAGGTTCTCACTTAATGTCATCCATAGGTTCTGCAACTTTAAGCAAAACAGTGCATTAAAACCAATTTACCATAGGCAAATGGGTATAAATAAGAGTTAAGTTCCTATAGCATCAATCAACATTATAACAAGGCTACGTTGAACAAAATGATGTTTGAGGACCTGCTG